ATTCTCTTTGGGCAAACCAACAAGTGTCATAAATTCATAATTCATTATGTTTTTACTAATCAACTAATATTAGAAACCTAAGGACATATATAATGTTTATTGTCTGACATTCCATGTTTGAATCGTACTAGAAGAAGTTAAACTAAGAGGGAAATATAAATTAATTAAACTTACAACATGATAGTAATAAGAGAAAATAATTTTTGCATGTGTCTTGTTTATATTTTTTCATATATTTTGCTTATATTATGCTTATTTTTTTGTTGTAATTTGCTTATATGCTTATAACATGTAATTAGTTTCATTAACCAATAATTAATCTATAAAGGAAGGAATCGTGAGTGATGTTGTATGCATGTAAGAAAAACAATCATAAAACAACATTTGTATTTTTTTAATAAACAGAAAAACTACGTGAGATTTCACAGTGGACACCCTAAGATCAAAGTGGACACAACAACCATGCACGCTATCACTTTAATATAGAAATTACTTAACAAATAGTTACTAAAGAAAAAATTAGTCAGAAATATACCTGCCAGCCCGCCTCTATAGTATTAAGGTCATTGTTCTGGTAAGAACCTGAAATAACCCATATTTGGCCCAAGCTGAACTCTTTGGCTTGATCTACTTTCGGCTGCCAGACACTCATAGTCGCTTTGGCTCCGTAAATCCTTGGCGGCGAAGTTTTTAAAGCTGCCAAAGTATACTGTATTTTCCGAAATGATTGTTAATATCTACATTTGTATTCGATTTTTAAACTTAGTTCGATTCATGTATATGGTTTCAAGAAAAAACAGAATTCGATTTGATTTGAGATTGTTAAAGGGTTTGATTGGTCACAAATGGCCATTTGACCATGAGTTCCTTTACAAATTTATAAGATATTTTAAAATTGACCATTTGTGACCATTTACGACGTCGAACCAGCTATCCTCTTCCTTGGACCGTCTCAACTATATAGGTCATTTGTGACCTTTATGAGTTCCTTTACAATTCAAATGCAAATGAGTTTATTCTTGATTTTATTTAATATAACATAAAAAATTTATAAGCAAAATATATGTAAATTATAAGTAAAACAGAAGCAAATTACAAGTATAATATAAGTAAAATATAATCAAATTATATATGTGAACGATAAGTAAATATTATTATGGTTTGCTATTAGGGACGAAAGAATGTTTTTGGAAACCTAAACTTAGACCCACGCTTTTCTTTTGTGTTAAATGCAACTTCCTTTTCTTCACTAATCCCTAACATATTAAAAGAGAAAACACTTTAAAAGTAACCTTTAGTTGATGTATTATTAACAAGAATGTCATGCTGATGTGTCATCACTAGAGAGCTTCTTAGGTTAGTTATGAAATAAGGGTTAGCTTACTAGAATAATTACAAACATTGTCATTCATATTTTTGGTTGAGAATCAAATATGTATTAAATTAATCATATATATAATTATTAATAATAAAAAAAATCATTCCCTTCTTTTCCTTAATTGACAACTACGAAAATTGGTAAATAAGGAAGATATGAATTCAATTTAATTCTATCATAATAATTTCTTTTAAAATCACCATATATCTCCTATTATCTTCATGTAACTTTATTTTATAAAATAATTTGAATCACAATATACAAAATTTAATAAAGAAAATCTAAAACTTTTCTGTACATGCTATGATTTGAATTTTTAAAAACAAAATAATATAAATTGTTTAGTACATAACCTCATTTAGTAGGTATCCAAAGGTAAATTATTATTTTTATTCCATTTAATATGGTTTTTTAATTAAATTCTATAATCAAATATATTAAAAAAGTTATTTTTCTATCATATTTGAGTTTGAGTTTTATGTATCTTCCTTAAATCTATCATATTTAATATATGACTACGATCAAAATTTTAATTTTTTTATCTTTTGAAAAAATAGTTTAAAATGCTTAATTTCCATACTATAAACGAATAAACGAAGACAATAATCTAACAAAAGTTAAAAATCTGTGACATAAAATTTTGAGATATTTAAATAAACATTTTTTAATAAAAAAACAAATCCAGAAATCATCACCCCGTGCAGGACGCGGGTCAAACCCTAGTAAGAAGTACTACATGAAAAAAATACATTATTTTGAGTTTTTATACATTCCCAAAATAGATAACCACCTCTCGGTAATCTTCAGTTTTATACTTACGTTTATTGAGGCCAACGCCCAACCTCCAAGGTCCAGGATTTGGTTCCTACAATTGTGTTTATTTATGTAAGTTAAAAATATATATCTAGTAAAACAATTTTTTTTTTCCAAACAGTACTTTTTTTTGAAAAAAAGTTAACGCTTACTTTCCAAATATGGATTGTCAACTCGGTTTGGCGGCCGCCCATAACTGAAGTGTGCGATATTGCTCCTTCAATTAGGACGGTGGAGCTTGTTTGAATGAACCCAGGGCACCGTAGGTTATAAGTTATAACACTTGGTGAAAGTGTACGCATCCTTCTGTAGTACATATTATGTTAAGAGGAAATAAATGATATGAATCTACTACATCTTTTTCTCCCAGTGGCCCTCTATCTCTTTCGTTAAAGTAGATCCTTAATAAAATGGTCTTAAGAAAATCAATCACTGCTTGTTAAGGGAATTAATTAAAGCAGCGTAATAATTTATTCATCCGTGTGATACTTAGGTTTTTTATTTTGTTTTGGGAATTAATCAGATAAAATTATAGTATATGTGACACTCATCATCCCAAAATTAATCTAAATGACATCTCTTTTTTCTACGTTTAATGTAATAGTCTAATCGACATCATTTTACGTACATATATGTATATTCTAGCTAGATATTGGGACCATATACATATTTACATATGATTTTCAAAAATATTATTATTTTATCATCTTATCGCATTTTGCTTATTTTTATATTGACATGAGTTGGGACCATATAAATTTATTATCTTATAGTGATTATTACTTTATCGAATATTACTTTCTAGAAGTTCTACTGTAATTTGAAACGGAGAAAGTATTATTTATTGCATGATCCATATTACCATATATATTTATATATATAGGTCTCTAAGATCCACGATACACGCAGGAAAACTATGAAATATATATAGATATAGTAGAAACTCTATAAATTAATACTCGATAAATTAATAAACACGATAAATTAATAAATTTGGCCGGTCCCAAGTTGGGCCGGTGTAAAATATGACACAACTCGATAAGATAATAAGATGATAACTTTTTAAAAACTCTTATATAAAACATGGTCCCAAAAATATAATAAATTAATAATTATCATATAAAATTATATATATATATATTTAATAAAATATGAATCTTTCACACAACAAACAAATATGAAAACTAAAAGAAAAAGAGAGAAACTTAAAACAATATAGCAAATATGCGAAAATGCAAAAAATAAAGTAAATATAAAAACATAAAGAAAAGTTAAGAAAATATACTATAAAGGCAAGTTCTTATTTAATATGAAGGAAAAATTAAAAAGTTATTAAGATTGATTTTTTTTTTTAAATTACATTATATAATATTGGTTTTATCCCAAGTGGTACTCGATCGTGTGACCTCTAAGTTTTGTCTAGGTTGCCGAGCTATAGCCACTTGGTTATCAAATATTTTTAGTCCTAATCGTCTACTGTCATCCGGGCGATAGTTATTTCTCATGCTCGCTTAGAAAAGGCTTATTTGTAGCTATATCATCATATTTTAAGTCATCGACACATAAAAAAAAAAGCTTTAAAATGTGGACTTGTTTACGTCATCCATCTTATTCTTTCAAGTTTCAGACTTATGGTTGTTGGGACTTTTTAGTCAGAAATTTTCGACCTTTAGCTACACAAAAAATGAATGGACATATTAAGTTGACTTTGAAATTTGAAGTCTGACTATATGCAGTCTATTGCCAATGACCAAAGTTCTATGGCATCGAATATATATTATTAGACTATGCAATTGTGGAGTTAGAAAAAATACCCACATGATAGATCAACATCCAAATAAAATATCGACGTGATTCATGACCCACCAAACAGACTCTGGCAGTGGCGAATCCACTTACACCAATATGGTGTCATATTATGTCTTTTTTTGTTTGATTTGTTTACTGACACCGGTAAATTCATTTCCTAGATTCGCCACTGGACTCTGGTGATGGATAATATAACAGTTTCTACACTACGGTACCAAGCCACTATGTCTTCCTAGGTCAATCTCATTTCAGCAAAATTTCGATTTGCAGATCAAACAGTATTTGAGTTTTCAGTTTCCTACATGGGTTTAATTAAGTGTAAAATCCATTTTAAAATTTCTTGGCCTTGGGCCTTGTCCATGTGATTTTACTAGCCATCGGTGATGATGTGAGCATGCAGCTACGTATAATCTATTTAGCTTCTAACCTCACAATGAACTGATACCAGCGGGCTGCTTAAATCCATGGAACACTACTAGACTAACCACATATGATGCTTATTGATGCATATCTTCAAGGATGCGAAAGCAACTCGGGTCTTTTAATTTGTCATTTCATATTTTCTTTTAAACCAGACATACAAAGGCAAAGATTGGCGAGAATAAACCATTAGAAGAAGAAAACATGACATTTCATTACTTTGAGAGTTGAGCAAATAGAAAAAAAAAAGACTCTAAGGTCGACATTACTTCAATAAAGCCACTTTATTTTAAAGAAAACTTGAACAACGAATATAATTAACCAGACTACGTACGGTTCAAGTAACAGTAGCCTGGCTACTAGAAGGCGTTTCTTGGTCAGAGTTTTTCAAGTTTAACCTTGCAATGGGACTCACATAGATACCAATCGATGACAGACTGTACTTATTGTTAGACCCAAAGAAACCACCAAACTCACGTCGATCACGTACACCTGAATCAATCTCTATCGTTCGACCAGCTTCATACATATCGTTTATTTTTCCAATTGGTCCATGCTCCCCACAGTTAGTGTGAAACGTCTAACTCTTAATTCCTTCAAGCAGTCCTCGTACTCCACTCAATCCAGTCACATATTCATCTTCATTCAGTATGACCTATCATCACAGACTTCACTTTCACAGGAACATACTAAAAAAAGAAAGACAGAAACTGAAATTTTACCGACACAAAACTTACAGCTCGAAAGTTCTGTCCATCAGAGACACCAAACTTCGTAGAGAGGATCAGATCTCCAATGCCTCCATTGTCCAAGTAACCAAACTGAATAGATGTTATGATACAGTTGTTGTAAGAAACGTATATGTGAGAGATGTTGTTGTTTCCCTTCTCGTCCCATTCAGTATCAGCTATCTCCTGCCCATTTTCGTCATATTCCTCATCATATGTCGCTCTTATTCCAATTGATCCTGCTCTTATCATCTCTAAAACAGGTAGCAGATTCAACCGTTTTAGAGAGAGAGATAGAGAGAGTCTAAGGAGGATTATATAAGAAGATACTCTTGTCTTGTCCAAAACTTGAAAAGTTGTCATGACTTGTATTTATGGAGTTCATAGGGAATAAGTTACAGGTGCGTTAAAGAAAACTCTTGAAAATTGTGCTTAATTAGTGAGACTGTTGTTTGACTAAAACCTAATTTTCAAGTGTTTAAATTTTAAAACTGTGAGATACTAATAAACGTGAAGTTATTAATATCCTCTTTTCAAAAAGGGTTCTTTGAAAAGTTATAAATAACAATAGATATTAATATTGATTCAATATAACTGTATATTGTGTGTAAAGTTATAAATAACATTCTTTTTTTTTTTGATAAAGGGTTTTCATTAATTAAAAGTTAACAATACAAAATAGAGAAGATGAGAAGAGAAGGGATTAAGTTTTGGCTTAAACTAAGGGTCTGATTGGTTCTCCCGCTACCACCCGCAAACGCAGCGTTTGCGGTTCGTAGCGGTTTTCGGCGGTTTATAACAATCACGACAACCGCTTTGAATCGCTCTATACCACTCTGTACCGCTCTATATCGCTGAAAATCAAAAGCTCCTTTCCGCAAGCGTTTGCGGTTGCGGGTGGATAATTAAAAAAAAAAAAAACACAAACTTATATAAAATCCGAAAATAAATAATAATATTTATTAAAAAATAAGATTTGGATAATAAAATCACAATATAAATAAAAAATTAGTACTTTTAGTCAATATTCATTAAAATCATATAATACTTATATATTTATAAGTTCTACAAATCAAAATTCTCTTCATAAATATTCTTTTCATACTAATACATATATATCTAATAAATAAAATTGTAAAATAAATTTAATTTTCACATTAAATATATATTTTGAAAATAAAATCACATTTTTATTTAAATTATAGAAATTAAAAGATAGACGTAAGTATTATACACATATTATTCTTTATAAAAAAATATTTTTAATTATGTTGAACCATAAATTTAAAATTTTCATTATAATATATTTTTGATATTTTTATAATTATATAATGTGTTTATATTATTAATTTATTGTTTAACCGCTATTGCATCCGCAAGTGAACCAGTCATAAGTAACCCGCAAACGCATCCATTTTCAATTGTTATGCCAGTCGTACAAACCGCTTAATAACGCTACTAATCACAACCGCCCGCTTCCGCAAACTCCCGCACCCGCAACCAGCAAACCAGTCAAGCCCTAAAGAAGCTTTTAAAACAACTAAAAGCTTAAAACATATGACAAAGGGAGCCTAAAGCTTAGGGCTTTAGGTTTTTGGGGTTATAAATAACATTCGTTTATATTGATCGATATTACACGAACAAACTTGATGATGGAGTGTCGGCTTGAGTAGAGGCTCTAGCGAATGGTATAATCTTAGTCATTTTACTACTAAACACAACATTGATCGTCCGACTGCTCTTTTATGAAAAATATAATACATAATGGACGAAACTATTGAAAGATTTGACCTGCAAGGAAAAGATAAATCACTCGCACATAAATATATAAAGAGACTGATAATAGCTTCGATCTAATGGTTGCGACCACCACCTTATCCACTGCTTGATGCTCCAACGTCCATTTGACTCATTTGACTCATTAATCATCTTCCTACAAAATGTATTATAAACTGAAATAATTCCTAGTACAGTTTTTTACAAATATATAAAAGACATCAAAATATCATATGTTTTAAGAAAATCTTATTTAATACTATAGTTTTTGTCCCAGCTAAAGTATAAGAATTTTCTTTGGTTGTTGAAGGGGTTTTCATTAAATACATAAGAAATTAAACTCATATTAAAACATTTAATACTTATTGAGGGAGATCATGATATATCTTTTGTAGAAAGATCTAGGTTAAACTATATAGGAAAGAGTCGTAAAAAAACTATGTAGGAAAAGAAAAACATTTTAAAACACGGAAATGTTATATGAGTTAGACTTTTTAAAAGCATGCATGAACATTTGTAATACTCCTTCTGTTTCAGAAAACTTGATGTTTTAGAGTTTTTTCTTTGTTCTATAAAACTTGATTTATTTTTTATTGTTAATTAACAAAAGTAATTTAATTGTGAGATCCAAGAATATTGTTGAATTGCTATTGGTTCATATTAATAATAAAGTGGCTAGTGAGAGAAAAATGATACACAGAAAAAGTAGATTTAATAAATTATATGAAAGAGATGATGCTTAAGCTAAACTAGTCAATCTCCTCCTTACAAATATATATATATATATATATATATTATAATTTAATCTCAAGATAAAAAAAGCAGCAGCATTCTGAAAGAGGAACATGAGAAAAAGCTAGTAATTAAAAAGAAAGAGAGCGAGTAAAATCAGAGGCTGGGACTGGGACATACCATTACCACCTCCACCATGGCCACTGGTTGATGCTGGTGTTCCTATCTCATTGTCACTATCACTATTGTGTTTATAATAACCCATCATTCTCCTCCCTTCATTTTGTTTTCCTTATTTTTTATAGTTATATACTTATATTATTAACATCTAATAAATTGTTATTCAATCATTATTAAGCATTATATACATAAACGGTCATATTAATTGAAAATTGAAATTTTTCCGCAAATAGACTATAAGTATTGATGTATAACCAAAGTTTTTATACCCAATATCAAACTAATCCAATGCAAAATACTTATATTCATAAAACTATCGTAACGCAAAGTATTAAACTGTATATAATTAACAGCTTGTAGTAGCTGTAACAATATATTCATTTTCATCAGATGATCATACACATGTGAATAGACTATATCGTGAATTTTCCATCAGTTAACATGTTCACTACTTTATGCATATGTGGATGCTATATATTGTTAAACGCTAAAACACTAACCAACGATTGAGAGTACTTCATGGTGAGAAGGAATAACAGATTCGGTACGGCAAAGAAAGGTACAAAGAAGCAAAATCACAATGAGAAAATAAAGTAATTCTGAAGAAAAAGTTTTCTTCATCTCTCTATCTTTCTTTTTCTTGATTCAAGACTATCATTTATATATCCGAATGGAGAGGCAATTTATATATCCGAGTGGGGAGGGAAACATATATATAAATTGTTTCCACTAATCATTATTATTGATTAATTTGACCCTCTTGTGGAAAAAACAATAGACCCTCTTGTTTCTCATTGACTTTTTTTTTTTTTTTTTTTTTTTTTTAAAGCTTGAGCTCTGATGTAGGATCCAGTTTGATCATATCTCTCCCAAAATCTTTCTAAAATTTTCAGATCTAGATTTGGATTTTAGTACGGATAATTTCATAGAAACAATTTAAATACAAATTTATTATCTGGTATACTATTTTCTTTTTTAAGTTTAAGTGTTTCCACATTCCATCATTATTTTTGGTTAAAATCACATATCCCATCAAAATGATGAATACTCTATTTACTTTGAACCGAGTTCTACTGGATTATTAATAAGCCCTAACCATTAGTGGATTAAATTCAGTTAACTAGATTCTAATATCATGTTAAATGTCCGGAGCATCGTGGCCCAATGGTAAGGATGGGCTCCTTCGTGAGGTTGTGAGTTCAAACCCTGCTGGAGGGAACCTCCTCCAGGGGATTAGTCTGGGCCCGTTCATAAGCCTAGGATTTACCCCTGAATTATTAAAAAAAAAATATCATGTTAAATCTTATGATATCATGTGAATCGAGTTCTCAAAACTTTTTTTTTTATTCCGTCCAATTCAAAACAATTGAATATAAATAAACTGATCCATATTATTTATCGTATTTTCTATGTGGAATTCATCCTTACAAGAAACGAAAGTTAACAAAATACTAATATGTTTGAGTTTTGACAGACGTTTGGTTATTATTTAAGAACACCTGAAAATATAACACCAACATGGCAACATGTACATTATACATAATAGAGAAAAAAAATTCTTGACTTAACACATAAATTACTCTAAATGAAACAGTACATTTGAATCTTATGATATCATGTGAATCGAGTTCTCAAAACTTTTTTTTTTATTCCGTCCAATTCAAAACAATTGAATATAAATAAACTGATCCATATTATTTATCGTATTTTCTATGTGGAATTCATCCTTACAAGAAACGAAAGTTAACAAAATACTAATATGTTTGAGTTTTGACAGACATTTGGTTATTATTTAAGAACACCTGGAAATATAACACCAACATGGCAACATGTACATTATACATAATAGAGAAAAAAAATTCTTGACTTAACACATAAATTACTCTAAATGAAACAGTACATTTGGATACTACTCCAGCACACAACTCTTGTGTTTTATATTCTTACGACCGGTGACCAAGTGCGATATTTTTATCTTTTGGATAACAATGACTCTTTTTCTTCAATAATCTAACATATCCAAATATATGAAAATGAATAAATGATCATTGGTACTCATTAAATACTCAACTAGTCAAGTCTGTATATTTTGTCGGTGCATGTGGCCGACGTACAAATATTAACGGTACATGTAGATCCGGATACTCGTGGATGTTGGAATATAAGATACTGTATTTAAAATTGTGTATTTTATTTCCCTGAGTCTCTTGCATGATTGAATTAAATTCCATTTAAGTCGTAAATGGTATATATATATATATATACCATTCATTTGTTATCCATACGAGCTTGCAAACTTATTTCCATTACATATTTCCAATAATATAATGTATATTTAGCAAAAAAATAAATAGACAATACAATGTAGAATTGTCTACGTCGATCCATCTTATTCTTTGAAGTTTCAAACTTATGGTAGTTGGACATTTTTGGCATAGAATGAAAGGCTTAGAATGTTTTTATTATATTTACTTTGAAGTTTTCTTCCATCGGTCTATGGCTCGATGTGGTGACCCTAATATACTAATGAGAGTGCATGCCACCGCGTAAATGACAGTTATGCGATTCATCAACTATTAGGAAGTGATTAGTGTTTCACTAATTAATTATACTCCAAATATTTGAATTGCCAATGCCTTACCCTCTGCTTCTAGACTTGAAGATGTAGTACATAAGCTATCCCCAATATCTAGCGATCTCTTGGAAGTCACAAAGAAGCCAAAACACTCTTTGCTTGTTGTGTATGCGTGTTGAAATCATCATCATAAGTCATAACTAAGTGTCGGGAACATCAGCCGGAGTAGTGGCGGAGGCTGGGTTAGCGGCGGGTGATAGGGTAGCCACCAAAGGAGTTGCGGTTGGTGGTCGAGTTGCAACGGAAGAGTGGCGGCTGGTGGCAGAGAAGTCAGAAGTGGCAGTCGGAGTAGGGGGGGCTGGGGTTTGGGCGAGTGCTGACGTGGCAAAGAAAGCCATGATAATTTTTTTTTACAAAGGTTTTCGTTTATTTGAAGGCTGTTTTGGTCATTTTCATATATCGTAGCCATGCAATTGAACAATTCCTTAAATTACAAATTTTTGTGGTCATTTTCGCCAATTTCTCTTATAATTACATTTGATTTTATTTTCCTAGTCTTTGTGGTCATAGTCTTTGAATTTGTGTGGTCATTTTGTGGCGACTACCACCGTGTTTACTTTTCGAAGCTCTTGTTTTTCTGCCCGCATTTGGAAAATATATGCTCATCAATCTCCTCCCTACATTTCATAATTGTATTTTTTTTTTAATCATAGATATAATTTCAACTTAATGAACAAATGCAGGAAAATATTGATAAGCGAATTATGCAATGGGGTTAAGGAACATTCGAATAGAAAAGTAGATAATTTGTAAAGAAAAAAGATGAAAAACACTGAGATAATAATACTATTATTACCAAGATAGATATTATTTTTCTTTGGTGCTTGACCACTTGTTAAAGGCCCTGCTAATAATATCCCATTGCTCATCAATTTCCTTCCTACAATAACAAATTATATATTTACTTATTTATTAAGGATATATTTACTCAATCAATTAAAGACAATGAAATATATATATAGAATTAGAAGTATTTATCTATTGAAACAAATATATTGTTTGCTATCTGATTTGATTATTATGTGATTAGACTAATTGTTAGCTAGACCCCCTAAATATATGCTAAAAGCAGAGTAACCAAACATGTAGCACAAATACAGGATTATATATATTTATATAATGATGATACTATGTATTTATGTACGTATTTAGTTATTTACCATCCGACTTAAGGAGTACGTTCATTTTCTTGCTGTTGTTTATTCCCCGTGATTTTACTTTGAAGGAGGACGGTTTGGCTTGCATTTCAAGAACTTGTTCAGGTGAGTTTTCAGTTATAATCTCTGTTTCTCCGGTTTTGATTAACTTTAATCCTTAAATTAACTAGGGGATACTCGGGCTACGCCCGGGTCTTCTGTTATAAATTTTGTATTTGTTTATGGTTTTTATTTGAATGGATATTTTGTTGTAACATTTTTTATGTTAAAATTTAAAATCCAAGTAATACTACATGTAAGAGGTGAACCCTAAAATGTAGGATGAATAATGTGAAATTTAAATAATAGTACGCGTTGAACGTCCATATGTAAAGCACCCATTTTATGGAAATGAAAATATGTGAGATTGAAGTGTACTTAAGAAAAATATGTGTTCTGTAAAACAGAAAAACGTCTTATTAAAATATGTAGTATAATAAAATAAAACTATGATAAGCATTACAGAAAACGTAATTAAATTTTGAAAAACGAAAGGATCCAAAGAAACAAACAAAAAACGGGAAGCAATACTAAAGTTTGCAAATTTGGATGGATACAATGGTTTATGCGAGGAGGAGAGATCACAACAGTAAAGATAAAGGAAAGTTATGATCTCTCAACATACATGGTCTCATTGTCTCAATGAAGTCAATAGGATAAATGCCCCGTATAAAATGCTAATCCACATCATTTACATTACCTATCAGTATAACTTGAAACTTCATTTATCGAATGTGATCACATTTAAATTACTTAAAAATCTTACAATAGGGAAAATGAGAGTACAGCGAAAATGAGAGTACGCTGAGAATGTAGAATCGTGCACACCATTCACTTAATATTTTTGTAAAGAACTCTTAGACCTTAAAAGAAGAAAAATTAAATTGGGGTAAATTAGATAGTCAAATATCTTTTTTTTTTTTGTCAAAGTAGAAAACCAAATATACAATAGTAATGTTTTCTAAAATTATGTTAGTTTTCCTACCATTATGTTCATTTGAAGGAATTAGAAATACTTATAATTTAGCATTTATAGTTAAAGGATAAGAACATGAAACAACATACATACCTAGGTCAAACTTCTCAACAAAGAGCTGCACAACTCTAACTTGTCGGTGAGTAGCTCTCAAGCTATACCATGTCAAAAACCTTTCCCTAAAACTCTTGTCTATATGACCACCTTCCTCTAAACATCTAATCGTCTTCACGATACGACCCAAGTCTTTGTCTACCACTCCATTTGCTGCAGTGATATCAGGTTTCTCTGTTCTTGATTTGGTGGATCTTTCAATCCCTCCTTGCTTCCCCTTGAAAGTCTCTCTCTCTTGCAGGGTGTTGCAACCAAGTCAATGTTGACTTTCCTTTTTACGACCCTCTCGTCTTCAAGCTCAGATTCCACTTCTCCTGCACTACAGTGTTCAGTGTTGTCCTTGTCGTCACCATTTGCCTTGCAGCAGCTTTTACGGACAAGCAAGTTAAATAAATTCATATAAATTTTGGTTTTGACAGCAAACATTGAGTGAAACGATTTGATGTTTATGACCTACTTCAGGTGCTGAAGCTGCTTTAAACTCTAGATGAATCTTCCTGTCTTAAGACATACACAATAGAACACTAAACTTGTCAGCAACTTGTTTAATTAGAGCGGTAGGAGATTTACTTTCTCGGTCCTGTGCTGCAACTTGATGATGAGGAGATCCCTTTCTCTTAACAGCTGTTCCCAAGTACCAAGATTTAACTCCTTCCCGTAACAACATCTGGAGAGTAATGAAAACCTTTCTAAGAATTAAGAAAAGAAAGAAGGAAAAGTATCAGCCAGCAAAACGATGATGCAAGAAATTTAAGCAAATTAAACTTTGAAACTAACCCAATTTACGAAAAATCGAAAGCTCATCATCATCTCGAGCTATTTCTGTAAACTCTAAATCGAACATGAAGCACTTTGCTGGCGTTGTTAACTATAAACATCACATTAGATTAAAACTTAACCATGACTATATTTTACCTCAACCATGACTGTATTTACCTCATTAGCTTCATAAAGTCCTTTAGGCTGTGATTTACTAAAACACTCTAAATGCAGATGTCCCAAAAACTTAGATTAGTGAGTAGAAGATAAGAATAAGAAACGCATTCCCCTACAATTGGAAAAGCAAGCCGTCGTACAAAAAGTTACAAAGTTTTCGTATAGTAAGTAGCACCACAAGTGATCATTGAGTGAATTTGAAGACCTTTCTGACTAATTCTACCAATAAGGTACTTGAACTAGTGTAAAATATAATAAATTATAATAAATTAAAGTGTTCTTGTAACTGATGAAGAGAGCAGAAGGACATACCTTGTTCTTTTTTTTTTTCAACTTGACAACGATCTGTATAGAAAAGGGAAATACATGGGCAGAATTATTTGTTAGTGGTAAATAGCCATATTATAATAGAACTCTTTCAACACTTTCAAAACTAATGTTAGAAGACAAAAGGAGGGTTTCAGTTCCGAATGAGATCGATGAAGCCATTATACTCTAGAATGGAAGATGAAGACGAAAGTAAGGAATCGGCAATGAACAAAACAGATAACTGAATCGACAAATAATAAGTGGACACATTCCTGCAGAGAATGGTGGAGCGAAAGAGTTTGGGATGTACCTTCTGATCAAGGAGAAGCGTGAATATGTCCACGCGTTTTCCATTTTCCGATCAAATACTAAATCCTAGAAACTGATGGAGGAGGGAAGATGCTGATACGGCTACCCGTGAACCATGGCGAGCGTCGGAGCGGAGGTTACTAATCTGGGCAGGGAAGAAAGGGTTTTTGTGGTAATCCGAAAATCGAACGGGGAAGCTCGGAATTTATAGTAGAAGAAGGGAATTAAATAGCGAGGAACATTAAAGATAGAGCTAAACCCACCGTATTTGGTAGCCTGTAACGGCTGGGCGGAATCGAGTTCGTCAAAGCGATCGACGAAGAAGAGAAGGAGGCGAGAAGACGTGATTTTCTGGGAAAAAAGTTGTTTGAAGAAAATTTAGGAGTGCCACGTGGCAAAACGTAAACACTCACATAAACGCTGATGTGGACACCTTAAGAGGCCCCAGGCAGCTGCTTTAAGTTATTATAGATTTATACAATATTATGGGAGACAGAAAAAAGGTCAAGTATGTGTGTATATATTTACGTATATCTGTAATACTTTGAATAATGGAAACAGTACTAACCGGTAGCTGAGAACGGAGCCGTTTGGCTAAGACAAGGGAGTATGCAAATGAGCAACACCAAAACGAGCACAAGGTTTAATCGTGAAGAATGCTTCGTTTCCATCTCGCTCTTATATGCTTTGTTTGCTCTCTTTCATTTGATTCGTCGAGATACTATATATACGAAATAGAAAGTGAAAGAAAACTACCAGAAAACAAAATCGAAAAGATAAGAACACAAAACAAAAAATGATAATAATGATTTTATAGTTGACTCTCTTATATGTTCTGATCTTTACCGATGATACCAAATTTGACTCTTTGTTCACATTTCTGGAAGTATTTCGATATCAAACTGGTTGTAAATAAATACTTTCCCATCTACTTAAGCGAGCTCACAGAGGTTTAAAAACTCATTTCTCATCCATATGAATTTACAATCTATTTACATAGCTCATTTGCGATAATGATATGGATGGTAGAGTCTTTTGGTGAATTTGGTTAATATATTCATTACGCTTTACAAGGAAAAGTATAGTGAGTAAAATACAGAAGAAAATACTCCGGTAGATAGGATTTGAAACAACCAAGATTTTTTAAAAAATAATAATAAATAAACTAACCAATATTTAGTAGAAGTCTTCAAAATAAATTCAATAAATAAATAATCAAATTAGTTCAACAATTAACTCGATAAATAATAAAGAATATTAACAACCTAAATATCAGGTTCTAGCAACTTAAATAGAAGCAAATAAAAACATAAATTCTATCATTCTCTTCTTCGGCTTTGATTCCGTGATCACATAAACTTTTTACATGCAACACATTACGAAAAACTTGCATAATTATTATCATAAATACTTAGTAAGTGGATCATCCCAACTACATGCTAATTACGTGAGACACTAGCAGCAAACCACACTTCAACACAATAAAGAAAATGGCAAAACAGACAATTCACACTTGCGTTAGACATTGTAACCCTTAAACCAGCTAAACCGGATCAATTTTGCAATTGTTGCATCGACCGATGCATACCTTGAGTCGCCCAACGCAACCTCCTTATAATTAAAAAGAGAGATCTTGTCAGATTGTCACTAAATCTTGTTAAATATTTTACAATGAATCATATTTGTTTATATATATATATATTTATAAAATTCTCTTTTTATTGTTTTATCCAACTCACATTCTCTCTCTTCTCTCTCTATTTCTCTATAAAATTTGTCACCCTATCTCTCATTACAGTCACACACATTTTTGCTCTCTTCATCTCTCTAAGAGATATGGATAAAATCGTCCAAAAAATGACATGAAATAGTTACCTACCCAATTTACAAATTAGAATTTCTTGCCATCCAAAACACTAATAAAAAACATAAAACTACCCTATTTGCAAAGATACCCTGAATTTTCGGACTTTAGTTACACAAAAAATGAATGGATTAGAATATTATATTAAGTTGACTTTGAATTTGGAAGTCTATCTAGATCATTGAACTATGTAGCTTAGTGCCAACGACCAAAGTTCTATGGCTTTGAATATATATATACTATGCAGTTGAAAAAAATATTTATGATTGATCAACATCCAAATTAAATATCAACGGGAATAGCGGACTTGTTAGGTGAAGTAATTTCTACCTATCATAAATATTTTTTGGGTTTTATGGTCTTTACTTCACATTGTCTCCTTGAGTAGGGTCTTTTTTGGGATGCTAGATAAGGTACCAATGATTCTTGGATGTGGAGGAAGCTTCTCCAGCTTCGTGAGGCTGCTTATCCTTTCATTCGATTTGAGATAAGAAATGGGATGAACGTACTTTTGCTGGTTTGATGACTGGTTAAAACAGGGCAAATTGTTGGATTTGGCTGCTGAAACTGGACCAGCAATGTTTGGTATTTCTTGAACAGACACATTGGTTGATTTAGTAATAAACATCATTGCAAGGTTGTCACATTCGATTAATTCTTAATTCTGAAACGACAATTGCCATCAACCATTTAAAAATCTGGAAAGCTAAGATAGTTGCAACTTCTAACAGGAATCGTGAAACCACAATTTCATCAACCGAAAAATAAAGAGAAGAATATATATTACAACATCATATTTTGTGAGTTAAAAATATTTAATACGTTTCATAGAAATCGCCGACGGTGGTGGCGATGGAGGAGCACCTTTTATAGCAGCTCGTCGACTGACTGATGACCGTACTGGTATCAACTTTCTTCTCCAACCTACTTAGTTTATAGTAATAAATTTAGGAGTTAGAAATATACTGGAACAATAAAATTAATGAATAGCATATTAGCAAGCACTAACCGTTCGTTGGGATTAACTCTTTGGGAGAAGGCAGAACATAGTCAATAGAGCATGGAACCAAAACAACCACTAGAAACAAGAAAACAACTCCCAAATTTGACAGACCATTCTTTACCATTTCAATTCTCTCTTTGTTAACTTGCTAATTGTTTGTTTTTTTCTTCCCCTCTTTCCTCTCTCGCTCTCGAATTTGTCTTCACTTTCTTGCTGTTGTTTGTTGTGATTTGAAATGATTTTCCCCTTTCTCAAATGCTACTATTGTATAACCTTCAAGATAAGGCAAAGGGCAACTTTCTGAGAATAAGGTTGAATAAGCTGATATTGGTGTGATATAGGATCCTTTAAATGTTAGTGGGTATAGTGGGTTGTATGATGATGTTTCATAGTAACAACTCTTCTTTTCTTAAGATGGTTTGACTTCTACTAAACGGACAAAAGAAGCACAAATAATAAAGTCAAATATGACTTTTTTCGGCCAGTCAATTTAGATACAACTTTAAAAACTTTAAAGGAATAAAATTAGGATAAATACAAGCTTTTTTCCTTCATATGCAAATTAAATCGGACGTTTAGAATTTGATCCGAGCCTTAACATCGCAAGAGAAAATCAAGGAAATCTATGGTCTCGATATTCAAGCTCTTGCACAGTTATTTACTTCAATTTGATTTCTTTCCGATTCATCCCGAGAACGGAGAATTCGAAGGCGGATTCACTGGCGAAGTCGGCTGCATGCGATCTCGCTTCGTGTCGTTTAACACCGTCTATTTTCTCTTTACTTGATAACACCGTGTAAACGTTTATTTTTCATTAATGAAAAAAGTTGTTCAAAAAGAATACAAGCTTTTTTCTAAATCACAATGAAAATGCTGAAAAATGTTAGATCCTTTTGTAAAATTATCTCACCTCCTCCTAAGAGGAGACAAACAAAATTAAAACGAATACAATACATTTCTACTAAATGGATTTTTTTTTTCACTTGTGTTGTACCTTTTTTGACGAAAGTAATGCTTAAAGAAAATGTATATGTCATTTTGAAAAAGGATTCAATCAGTCACGTCCATGCTCGTAATCCAATATCTAAAACTAAAGGAAACACATTATTCTTAAGACTGTCACATGCTAAAGAAATTATGCATACACATTTTTTAGTGTTTTTGATACTGTAAATTAACTTGATTGTTTTTTTAAGAAGTTTGAATCACTAATTTCTTATAAAAATTCATACGATGCTATTCACTAACGTTCAAAAAAAGGGTTCTCTTGTTATTCCCTCTCTCTCTTGCTCTAGGTTGCTGCACGAAAGGCATCTACTGTCCCATACATCCTTGGTCACAACATCAATTTGTCTCACGCTGCCGCTTCCGATTGTTACAATACATAGTAAAAGTTAAGTCAATACTAATGCAAACATGATTTTTTTTCTTTTTAAATGTGAAAATTTGTTCATCAACAAAAGAAACAAGTATCCACAAAATCTACAATATGCAAACATCACGATAAGAAACAGAGAACGGTTTTATTAATGAAATGATAATAACGCAGATAACGAATATCATTTGCTAATTTAAGCTGACCAAGAAAGATTTATTCATGGATTTTTAATGGGTTGATGCTCCATAGATTCTTGTATCTATTCGAATCATGGCAGTGGTAGTTGCTTTGATGATGATGCCGGTAACTTCGAAGATGGTGACGGCGGTGGTGATACTAGTGGTGGCGGAGGTTGAAACAATGGTAAAGGTTCGATACGAGGTCCCCTTTTTCCTCCACCTGTTCCACCTCGACCACTTAAAGATGGATTTACACGTACCATCTTTCTTCTCCATCCTATTTTGATTTATTATTTTAAAGAATCATAATTTGACTTTTTGTTTTCGTTAACTTTGCTACTCGATTCATGAAAACCATTAATGATATATGCTTCAAAACTAACCTGATGATGGACGTAACTTTTGTGGAGATGCAAGAGCACAGCCGTTAGTGCATGAGATCATAAGAATCACTAGAAGCAAGAACACAAGTCTCAAATTCGAATGATCTTTTTTCGCCATCTCTCGTTCTCTCTTTGAGTGTGATCAGAATATGGTAAGTCTAAAGACTTTTTTTGGCCATCACTTCTTTTTATATTGTTTTTCGGTTATATGTTAATGTTGCTTTACCAAAAAAAAGTATTAAAAAAAACTCTTAATTAGTTGTAGTGTCTCTTAGTTTAAGTTAAAAATCCCATATGATTACAAAAAAGGACACGGAGGAAAATTTGACTTTTTGGCCGTTCATCAGTTGAGAGTCAACCAAGACCAAGATAAAAATAAAACATATCTTATATACCACTATATAAGATATATATATATATATTAATTAGTAAGAGAGTGCAATGAGATAAGAGACATGTGAGGGAAATAAACGTGAAATTAGGGGGGGAGAGAGTAAAATCTCCATCTCCTATATGTTTGAGATATGGAATATAAGAGAAGGAGTGTTATCTCATCTTCTCATTTCCTTTAGTTTTACGTTACATATTTATAGTAACGTAGATGCGGTGAAAAAGATGAGACGGTGAGTATATATATATTGATAATTGATTAGGAAGGTGGTGTATGAAAATTTTAGAATTTGAAAGCAGTGCAAACGAGATTTTGTTTTGGTTTGGGTATTTTAGTTGATTAGGCTTTAATTCTTTGGTGCATCAGAATCAGTTTTTATTAATACTAAAAAAATTGTATTTATATTGAAGTGTGAAATTTATTCATCAACAACAGAAAAAATATTTACAAAATCTGGAAAATGCAAAAGTCAATATAAAAGACATCAATTTTGAGAAAGAAGAAATAAGAAACAGAGCAAGTTGTTTTCTCTATGAAATTTTGATGATGCTCCATAGATGTTTGTATCTCTTCAAATCCTAGCAGTGGTAGTTACTCTGATGATGGCGGACACATGGGAAATGGTGACGGCGGTGGTGATACTGGTGGTACTTGGTAGTGGTGGTGGAGGCAATGGTAAATGATAGCCACCAGCACCAGGTCCACCTCCTCCTTTACCTCGATGGCTCGATCACTCTTTGACGACTTTACTCGTGCCATCTTTCTTCTCCATCCTATTTGATTCAATATTTTAAAGGATCATAGTTTAAAAAAATTTGTCTTGTTTACTAAGATTAGCACAATATACAGTACTTCTTAAGTTTTTTATTTTTTTGTATTTTTCGTTAACTATAATAATCGATTAATGAAAACCATTTATGATACATGTTTCAAAACTAACTTGATGATGGGAGTAACTTTTGTGGAGATGCAAGAGCACAAGTCTCCAATTCGAAGGACCTTTTCTTGCCATCTCTCGTTCTCTCTTTGAGTTTGATCACAGTATGCTAAAGTCTACACTTTTTTTGCCATCTCTTATTTATATACGGTTTTTTTTAGTATATTAATGAAGCTTAATCTAAAAAGTAATGAATTTGCAAGTCATATAGTTTGGAATTCCCTTGATATTACAAAGTCTAGACAGCAAGAGTCATAGTTTGGAATTCGCTTGATATCACAAGACAGTCACATATATAGATTCAGACCGTTAATTGGTACTAAATGGAAGAAAGTTAAAATTGACTAATTTAAATCAAGAATATGAAATTAAAACTGCACCGCAATCAACAAAAATAATACCATGCGAGTGAAATATACATAATCATATAACTCTTTATCTAGCTTTCACTCCAAAAAACTATTTAATCATCTATATAAATTGTGTCTATGGGAATAGTTTAAGTTGAAAATCCGAATATTAAAAAGGACTTGTAGGAAAATATGACTTCAAGCGGTTCATTAATTGAGTCAACAAAGAACAAGATTAAAAAAATACTTGGCTGTAGATTTAGACTCCATATGTTCGCACCGACATGCAGATCAAGAGCCCAAGACTTAGACTCCATATATATATATTAAGATTTTAAAATCCTTACATGGAATTACATATAATACATATGGCCTATATATTGGGTGAAGTATTATTCAAGTTTGTATGCTGTCCAAAAACTAAAGAGAGGAATATTGATGAATGTGACCACCACCATGTCCACTGCTTGATGGTCCTGTGAATATGTCTCTGTGTGGCTTATATATACTCATCAATCTCCTTCCTTACAAATAATATTTATACATTAATATATATTAGATAAAAAAAGGAGATAAATAGGGTGTTAAACTTAAAACATAAAGATAACATGAGCACTGTACCGTGAGGTCCGTGACCACCACCGCCTCGTCGACTTCGTGATGATGGTGTTCCTATGGCACCATTGCGCTTATAATACGCCATTATTCTCCTCCCTTCATTTTTTAATTTATTTTAAAGATATTTACTCATTATTCATTGTATCGTATACAAATATGTGTAGATTTTACCCCAAAAAACAAATATGTGTAGATGAATATGTATATTTTGGCAAATACTATACGGTCACATACTATATAGACCGTATGTTTTATAGGCAAAATGTTGAGTAAGGAAATACGATATGACTTTTTTATATGGCTTGAGCAATTTCAATCTATATTAAACAAATGTTTTCTTTTATGATTAGTAAGGAAATTAATTAAGTGGAAATTAAAATTTGGGTGTAATCTAATAAATTAAATACGATTAAACCCTTTATCAAAAGAAAAAATTAAATTCGATTAGCCAGAATGTTGATAAGTGTCCCATTACTTGAGTGGTTTGGGAAATTTCATTTTTTTTCTTTGACAAAAAAAAAATTCTTAGCTGGGATTTGTATATAAAAACCAAGATTGATGTAAGTTTATGATCTTGTCAAATTAACCAAAGAAAGAACACCCATTTTATTGTGAGAAACAAGCGTGGCAGCTGGGATTTCTGTTTTTTTTTTTTTTTTTTTTTTTGTTAAAGAATTTTTTGAATTACTTAAGCTAGACCTCTTGCATACAATTTTTTATATCGAGTAAATATATCAAACAATTAGGACATAGAGAAACTGATTTACATAACATATGCATATGTATGCCCATAAAAAAAAAACATACGCATATATACTTACGTGTATGCGTATATGCATAAATATAGATCATGTGTGTACCATGAAACACTAACCAGTCACTGAGAGT